AAGAATGGACTTTGAAGATGGCCAGTTTTGCAGAGATGGCGAAGATTTCAGCATACTTAAAAGATTGTTCACAAGAGACTTATGAATGGGAATGGAAAAGGTGGATAGAATATGTTCAGAACAAATATCAAACTAGAAAGTATCAAATAGCTTTTATTTGAAAATAATGTATTAGAAATATTTTAATGTAATGAGGTAAAAAGAAAAATTATACAGGGGAGGGAGGGGTTCAAGTTTACACATAAGTGTCATACTAAGGGGGTTTTTTTGTGCTTTTTTTTTTACCAGTTATGAGTATATTATAGGGAAGTCTGGGGGGAGGGGAGGGTTAGGGAGGGTTAGGGAGGTTGGGAAGTTTGGGGGGGTGGTGGGGGGGGAAAGGGGTGAAAATGTAATTGTAAAACTTTTGCAATAAAAAAAAAAATCCGCTACTGGTTCTCCAGAATTTGTCAGAACCTCTGATCCAGTCTCATTATGGTTAAAGCATAATGTGATGAGCCCAATCAGTAAGCAATTTAAGGCAGCCATTCACAAAGAAGAGAACCAATACAGTAACTTTTATGGCAAAAGGATTGAGCTAAGGTTCTTCAGCAATTACCATATATCACTGGAAACCTGAGCCAGAACACATTGCTAACAATCAAATTACATTGTAGCTTGCAGATCATACTACCTTCCAGTTTGGTTTAACTCTGGTTTATTTAATAAATTGTAATCACTTAGGTTCATGGAATATGCTGGGTTGAAACCAAACAAACTACACAATACCTTACTGTAATGTGTGAATTGAGCCTAAAAATCATAATCAGTTCATCCAAAAATGTTTAATTAGCTCCTTTTAATATGACAGTGATTCGCATCCATAAGCCTACTTTACAGTACTACTCACTTTACATATCAGTATCACCCCCAGCCAATACAAATATGTGGAGTGGAATGGAATGGAATGGAATGGAATGGAATGGAATGGAATGGAATGGAATGGAATGGAATGGAATGGAATGGAATAGAATAGAATAGAATAGAATAGAATAGAATAGAATAGAATAGAATACTTTATTGGCCAAGTGTGATTAGACACACAAATGGTTACTTCTAATTGCTCTAAATATTTCTGGCATCAAAAAGGTTTAAGAAATGGTTTAGTCTCTGACTGTCAATGAGATATTTCCCTTGTTCCTTTAACAAATTATCCCAGTTAGCTCTTGAAATAATTACATTCTTATTTTCATAAAACTCCCAATCATTTACTTGGGAAGGACTCACCTTGGGCCTTAACTCATACTGACACCTGGCTAGCAAGGAAAAACTTCTTTACATGAGTGGATCTCAAAAGATAGTAAATGCACCACTTTTAGTTTGGTTCCTATGGGAACCAAGGTAAAATCGCTGACACTTTAAGTAAGTTCTTAGTGACTGCCACCAATGAAATAAAAGGCGTGTTCTGTTTCTACCATGATGGATCTAAGTTCTCTGAATAATTGTTAATCCAAGTATATTTTATACAGAAGTTCCTGATTTACAACCTTTCATTTAGTAACCGTTTGGAGTTACAATGGCAGTGGCACTGAAAAAAAGGGACTTATAGCCATTTTTCACACAACCATTGCAGCATCCTGGTGGTCATGAGATCAAAATGTGGACACATTGACGATTGCAATGTTCCAGTGTCATGTGATTGCCTTTTGTGACCTTCTGACAAGCAAAGTCAATGGGGACATTGACAATTGTGTTACTAACTTAGCTGCAGTGATTCACTTAACAACTGTGGTAAGAAAAGTTGTAAAATGGGATGAAACTCACTTAACAACTATCTCACTTAGTAGAAAAATTTGGACCCAATTGTTGTCATAAGTCAATGACTACCTGTATCTTAAAAAAGTTGAAAAGCACTGCCTTAGATTACAGTGGTTTCTTGGAATAGATGCAGGAACTAATTTCTGTGTATTTCCACACAGAAAGTTGGCAATTGTGAACGCCTCTTGACTCAGAGTGTTTTCCCCCACCCTCTTCTTCCTTCTGATACCATATTCTAATGCTAGAAGCCCAGAGCAAAACGTCAGCTGTGAGACAGACTCATTCCCATGATCTTTAGGAAGCTTTCATGAGTCACTGGTTAAAAGGTGATACCAACTCTCTTACACTGAGACACGTTGATTTCATTCCACTGGAATCATAGTGTGGAGCTAACCTCCCTTAGAAAGAGATAAGCCCCAAATCAGCCAACCACATTTTATCTTCATGCCATGTGTGAACCTATTCATGGACGTTAGCCTACAATTCAGAGTACTGTCTGTATTCTGCCAGTGAGTCAAGAGAGCTGCTGCTGATATTTTCTGCTCGGCAAGGCCTTGAGCCTATCCAGAAGTCCAAGTGGGTAAATCTCTCCTGTTACCTTTGAACTTCTTTTTCTAAGACAAGCACCACAGGGACTAATCATAGAGTAACTATACAGGGGTTGCTTACACCAAGGGTTATCTTTAATAGCCACAGTTTCAGCAGTTTTTGTCTGTGCATTAGACAGAACCTAGAGATACTCCTAATCATTTCCACTTTGTTCCAAATTGATCTAACTTCTGTAACAGCAGCCATGTTCTAAGAATCTGAACCTTATTATTTCAGAGGTATATTCACATTAATTTTACCACTTCAGAGCATGAAAGAGAGTAAACTGGAGTTTTGTTTTGTTCTTTTTCTTATCATGGTTCCTGCACTTTTCACATTTTCAAAAAGAGCATGATTTATCAGGAGATATCTATGTTTGCTGAGCAGGTAATCATCATGTCATCAGATCTCTACTTGGCAATTAAGGCACATCTACTGGGGAAAGGAGCTTGGGCCATCCTAGATTTCAGATAGTGCACTTTTTAGATGAAGCATTGTCCAAGCAAAAGTTCCACCCTTATAAAACACAGTGTAAAGCTGCCAAATTTTTTATGGTTGCGTAGTATGAGTAAATCTTCCCTATCCTCTTCCTCTTCCTTTTGATTTGCGCCACTGAACAAGTTTCAAGCCTGGTCAAGTCATATGAAGGCCCTACCCATCAGCACATATATAACCACAATGATTTCAAATCTTGGCAATCCATCTGGACTCTGAACGGTTACAGGTAAACAAGAAGCTGGATTAATATATTTACGCTCTATTTTGATAAGTTTCAACAAGCATCACTAGCCTAGTTCTCATATAATCCTAAACCACAAACCATGGTTTACAATCACATGGTTGACTCCATGGATCACAATAAGGCTAAATTAAAACACAATATGGATTTGAGCAGCAGTTCTTACAAGTGTTCAAGCTCAAATACTTTAACATTTCTGAGTTTTAATTTATAGTACAGTGAATATCTATTGGTAAAATCCACATAAACCAAAGCTCTTCAGAATAGGTAGTTATTTTAAGAATGTAAAGGGATCCCAAGATCAACCACTAGTTTAGATCAGTGTGTGAATCAAGTCAGAGGGAACAAGCTCAGCTTTCCACATCCGCCCCCCCCCAAAAAAAATCTAATCTGATCTGATGTTTACTTCTGTGCAGCTGAAAGTTTAACACAGACAATTCTGGCAGTCCTGTGCCTGCAACTTCTATGAACATTGTCTTTTCACTGGTTCCTACAACTAAATTTCATCCTAACCAACTTTCCTGGTAAGGCAAGAAAAGTCACTTTTCCCCTCTGCAGAAAACAATCCCCCCAGAGTGACCAGATACAAAGGGAGCCAAGGCCTCAGTACTTTGAGAAACTGCAAAGGAGTTACACCTGCTCAATATTCCACCTCCTATCTGTGGCAAAGGCACTGCTTTTATTTATTCAAAAATCTCTGTGCTCTAGACAGAGCAGAAAGTAACTCACAGTCTAATAGGCTGTTTTTCAGTAGGCTACCTGCTGGGATGCTTGCAAGAATGCTAGGCTTTTCAAAGTGCTTAGGTTCTTAAAGACACATGCTTACAGAGAGCAGCTGCATGAGAAAAACCTGTAGTCCCTTCAAAACAAATGTATGGCATAAGCTTTGCTAGGCTGCACTACAGTTCATCAGGTGGGGATTCTGGGTTAGGGAATATATATGGTGGATGGGGGAGATGGTTTATAAACAAGGAAAACAGAAATTAAAAATAGAAAGTGAAGTTAAAAGTACATCTCTATACTATGTACATGTAAGAATAGAGCTGTAAAATGCATTGTGGGGATGAAGGGAATTCCAGCCTTTTCTTTTCTAAGAAGCCAGGGCAACGGGTAAAGGCACAGGGAGAGATTCGCTGCATCTTCTAATCCCAAAAGCCCATGAATTTCTCATCCCCAGCCTTACAAGATTTGGCTCAACTCTCAATTCCGTTCCTAGCAGAAGACAAGAACTCCCTCTACCCGGTTTCCCAGGTTGGATTGGGAGAAATTCCAGCAGGTTACTCAACGGTTAACCTGGCCGCTTAGGAAACACAACCCATCGAAAAGTCGCTCAAACAGGGAGCAGCACTAACTGCTCGTGGCCTCGGCCCGATCGGATCCCCTTCCAGATGCCCCCCAGAAGCTGGCTTACTTTCCCTTCCCAGCAGGAGTTAAGGCCGGGAGCGCACCAAAAGGACACCAACGTTCAAAGGAGCCGTTTTCCCTTCGCGTTTCAGGCACCTGCTTCGCCCGCCCTTTCCCGGGAAACAGCTGGAAGTTGTAGGGGAGAACCGCCAAAGTGGACTTCGGCGCCGGGCTCGGAAGGTCCAAGCAGAGCACGCCAACAACTGTAGCTCGAAGGAAAAACCCGCACAAGCCCCGGCTTAATAATGGGACACCCCCCCCCCAGGTCAGCCCGACCAAAAACAAACAAGAGAAAACAAAACACCCCACCCTTGGTTTCCGAGGATCGGGAAGGAGAAACAGGTTTGCCTTCCTTCTCCGGGGCAGCACTCCAAGCCTTCACCTTCGCTGGTGGGGATGCCAAAGTTCGCAAGCCCCGAAGAGGAAACCTCCAACCCCGCTCCCCCTCCGCCCCATCCCCGCCTTTCTTTACCTGCTTCGCACTGTCGGCCAAGCAGCTTCTGAGCTCGAGAGCTCGCCCTGACCCAGCAGTCGCTCTCCCGCAACGACGACAGCGCCGCCGCCGCCGCCGCCGCCTCCTCCCCTCCGAGGCACGTGATCCTCAAAGCAACAGGTACTTCCCGTCCCGTACCTGAGCCAGGTGAGGCGCCCCCTCCCGCTTATCTGGCTGCTCTGCCAATCAGAAGAAAGCAGCGCTGGCCCGGCGGGATCGCTCCCCCGAGTTCCCTTCTCCTGGCTTCTTCCAGAGCGCTTCTGCCTTTCTGGTGCCTGCTTTGGTCGCCCATTCGACGCGGTTGGCTTCCGCATAATATTGTTAAGCACATTGCTTTATAGAATAGTTAATAAAAGGAGGGAGATGTGCCCCGAGGAGACTGCAATCTAAGTGCCAGCCCGGAGTATCACATCAAAATGATCACAATTGTCACTTGGTTTCTCTTTTCCCGGTTGCTGTGCTAGGCGCCCTTTCCTAAGAGTAGATTTATTATTATTATTATTATTATTATTATTATTATTATTATTATTATTATTATTATTATTATTATTATTAAAAATTTTATACCGCCCTTCTCCTGAAGGACTCAGGGCGGTGTACAGCCATATTAAAACAACATATACCACAACATTTAAAAACAGTTTAAAATATATTAAAAATTTGGCCCTTATATTAAAAACTACAAACATCCAATTAAAATTCATTTTCTAAGCCAGCACACAACAGGTGGAAAACAAACAAAACAAACTTAATCTGACACTTTAACAGGGCACAAGGCAGCATTCCAATCTCAGGTCTGATTAGCATTTTAATAGAAGACCATTAAACCATGCCAGGATTGCTGTAGGCTAGTGCTGAATGAACAAAACCCCAGAATGCATCCGCACTTGCCGAAACCACTTCCCTTTTGTTGCCAAGAAAACTACTGTACTGGAGAGTCAGGGTTGACTTGGAAGACGCCTTTATCTTAATGTGTCACTGGCTATTGCTGCTCACCTATGGAATTTCTCCCCCTTGTGGAAGCATTCTGCATCTTCACTGAACAAAGCATTAATCTGATGCACCAATAAAGTATGTGTGTGTGAGAAAGAGAGAGAGAGAAAGAAAGAAAGAAAGAAAGAGAATTTCAGTGTCTGCAGGCCTTTGACTGACTGCATCAAACCAGCTGCCTCAAAGAAACTTGAGGCAATTTAATATTTAACATAAAAAAGTAAAAGAAGTATAATAAGTAAATAAAATATTTCAGATGGAAAAGGGAGTAATGATAGTGACTTTGGGCCAGTTCTTCCCTCTCAGCCTGACACACCTTGCAGGGTTATTGTGGGGGAAATAGGAGGCAGGAGAATTAACTATTTCTGCCACTTTGGGTTATATATTAAAAAGGATAAACAAAACAAAAACTTAAGAAATGTAGGAGATGGTAAGAGTGTCACACAGATTTGTGAAGGACAAATGTATGTCCAATAGGGATGGGCAGGTGTGACATAAGGAACAAGAAAACTCCCAAGAAAGAATTTCTTCTTGGAAAGACTGGTAGCAACTCCCAGGAATTGCTCAAGTCAAATTCCACATCATCAGACATGCTCAAACATGCTAACACAGTGGCTGTCGGTGGTGGTGGTGGTGGTGGTGATAAAAGCTAGCAAACTAGATGGTTTCTTGAGATTTTACAGAATTTGGAGCATGGTGAGTATCAAGGAACCTTCCTTAACTTGTTTTCAGCCTCAACTGGATAATTATGGGAATTGCTAGTCGGCATCCCCAAAAGTCATCAGAATCAAGGAAGTCCACTTTAAAATCTACTATTTAAATGTATCCAAATCTTGAAATGCTTCCTCCCCACCATTCCTATTTTCTGCATTCTCCATCTTTCTTTCGGATACAGAGCTCACTTGTTTGACTGTGGAAATAAGGGATTTGAAGAAAAGGACATGAAAGAATTCTTGATGTTGCTTGGTCTCATCAGGGTACTGCAGTCTCAGGAGACATGATGACAGAGCTTATACCAGTAATAAATGACCACTTTGTAAAGCAATCTGGGCTATAGGATGGCTGCCCATTCCTTGAGCTGCATTCTTTAGCCCCAATATGCAGCCACATAGGAATTCCTGAAAGCTTCTTATACCCAGAGGAACCAAGCCCTGACCCAGGGGATAATTCAGTCTGGGGTCAGTTGAGACAAAAAAAAATCCCTTTGCCTTCAAATTAAGCAGTTCAAATTGAGCACTTTGTGGCATGCATGCATATAGTTCTTATATACCCACTCAAATAGAATAAGGCAATTATACTACCTAGAGCTACAACATGACATTATGGTGCAGGCAGCAAAAAATCCAAATGTTTCTTTATTCTCTTAATCTATTAAACGATGCATTGGGATTCTCTCTTCTGAAATAAGCAGGATCTAAACAACATGAAGCAGTGGTGGCAAGGCATGAAAAGGAAAGTTGAATCTTTTACAGCCTTAGACTGAAAGGAGTGAATGCTTAGATTCACACATATTCAACTAAAACCAGCCAAATTACATGATGATTTAGTGTGATTTAAAGTTAAGATACCTGCTCAGTCACGAATGGTTGACTTTAAAATATCATTCTGTAATGAGGAAAAATAAATTTAAGATTTAGGACTTAGGATCAGATGTGACAATCATAAAGATGTTTTCATTCATTTGCCCCAACTAAATAGGCTTGTGGTTATTCACAGGCTAAAGTTGGGCTGTCATTAAATGGCCAGTTAGCACCTACAGGTAAGACAAAGGCTATGATTCCTTTTTTTTTCAAATAATGGAAGCCAGAGATCTCATAGCTATATCCCACTGCTATAACTGAAGCCTTATTTATTTATTTATTTTTGCCTTGGCACCTGTAATAAAAGGTCACCCAAAGCTGGCTTTTCATTTTGGAACAGGCATGGACTGCCAGCTAGAATGTATTATTCATAGAGACATGCTCTTAATTTAAAAACCTATTTCTTTTATTTCCACATTATCTCAATCAAAATTGATGGGGTCCACTTTTCAGCAGTACATGTGACCAGAGGTTGCATTAGGCTAATGCCAAAATTAAACTACAGTAGGTGGAATTAGGCATACGATGACTCTCTTCCTTTAGCACATCACACTCAGAAAAATAAGTTAATATTCCAAGTATAATTTCTATCAAGTTTGTAGGAGGGTGTGTGGGATAGAGCAAATTGTATAACAGTGTTATACTAAGATAATATAATAAAAATGAGTAATAGATTTTATTAGAGCTTGGCATTTTTAAAATGCTTCCTAAAATGCTAGAGATTAAGAGGTCTATAGCTTGGTATGCATTGCAAGGATTTGCTTTTCTAGGCCCTGGGGATATAACTCAATTCTGCCCAAAATACATGAATAGGATGATGATGGTATGGGAGATGGGTAGGCTGTGCTGCTTCTCATTTTCAGTCTGTGAAATATTATTGTAAAGGAAGTTTAAATATTTAATTTGCAATCATTAATTCCAAAGTGTTGTTGCAGGATTAAAGTTGTCCTGTATTATTTGAAGAGAAAAGATGCCTCCAAGGAAAGAGAAACCATTTGCATTCGTTTCAAATCTGATTCAGGATCTGAAACAAATTATGTACTGAATCAGGTGGAAGAGCCTCAGGAAACATTGAGTTGGATTGTCATAGTTCCCTACTGTGTGTTCTCATCCGGAAACACAGCAATTTTTTTTTTTATCCTAAACCCAATCTACTGAAACTAAATGCTTAAAATCCCTAACTTGGCTAGGAACAGTCTCTAGGACTGGAAAGGCAGGAGCTGTACACCTATAGAGAAAGCCTCTACATGCTACCTTTTTCCTATCTGGCTAATGCTGTCCTAATCCTCAAAATTCCCAGCCCATGCAGTCACTGGCCATGCTGACTTGAACCTTCAGAAGTTGCAATCCCCTGGAGGGTGTAGATTATGAAAGACAGGTCTAAGATGTCTCTTTTCCTACAGAGAGATACTCATGAAACTGATGAAGTGGCCTGTGGTACCAAACAACCTAGGGAGGAGCTCTTTTTAGATGAAAAAAGTCATGCCATGGTTAATTGTTAGTATTTAGGTCCCTGAGTTCTGCTGAATTCATAGCAAGAAGTTATTGTGGAAACTTTTCCAGAATTGGCCCTAAGGCTGCATTCCGATGTACACTGAACTTACTCATCAGATTGGGTTGTAAACAGATTGACTCCAAGTCGTCATCAAAATGACACGGCATAAAATTCATTTCAAAGTGAAAAAGCAGTAGAAGCTCAACTGGGTGGCTGGAAAATCCTGCTTCTTTATCCAAGTGGAAGGAGAATAGAAAGTTGATGCTTAAAATTGAATAGAATGTCTACTTTTCCATTTAAGAGAGAGCACCTCTCCCCACCACCACAGGGGGCATTTGCACTGTTCTCAGATTGGCTAGAGGTCGTCTCCCGAGGGCAGCTAAGCCAATTACTTCAAGTTCATCTCTGGGTCTGCAGGAAACATGCTCAGTGGGTTCTACAGTTGATGAAGTGGAGATCTGCAGTATTAGGGGTAGCATCAGCCTCCATTGGTGGAACACTTTTTTCCAGCCCCTGGACACCCACCCCCCTCCTTCTGCCATGCCACTGTACCTGTCACAGCTCCCTTTAACTGAACACCGGGGAGAAGACCTTTGCTGCTTGACTGCTCATCCTCTTCATAGGCCATGAGGTTTATTAAAAAGTGGGGCATCGTTTGGAGACTCATTTGTAGGCTCCTGTCCTGGTCAAAGAGATTGGTTCATGTTGTGTTTTTAGTATTTCAAGATCAGTAGCAGTATGTAGAAAGTTAGCACCCACCCTTCTCCTAGAAGAATGAAATATTGTAGGAAATATTAAAAAGGCAGAATATTATATTTCCCTGGATGAGAAATGGAGAGGCAGGAAGCAGACTCACTCTTAATAGCCCCCTCCCTCCTCAACAGCCCACAGCAGATGGCACTTAAGAGATAAAGAGATGGCTAGGTCTATTCATAAGCAAATACCCTCACCCAAGATCCAACAAAGGTAGGATTAGCCCTCAGCCATAATGAGAATTGGCCAAAACCCTCTTCATTACATCATCACCCAGCAAGATTCAACCAAGCCTGGGACTCAAGACAACCTACAAAGTTACCCCTGCATGGCCCCATGGGAGTCTGACAACCAATCAGGATACCTGCCCTTACACAGGAACAGGAAGTTCTATGGCAGGGCCCAAGAAAGGGTGTGTGTGTATATACCGTGTATATACACCATGTATGTATGTGTGTATACACACACACACACACACACACACACACACACACCG